AGAGCGGTGGCGGTCCAGGAGCAAGAGTAGCGGGGGAGGGTCGTGGCTTCGAATCAGGGGCTGCTTTCAGAGAAGCACGCAGTGCTCTCTCGTCTCGCGAGCCGGGAGAACGAGAGAGAGAACGTGCGTATCGAGCCGCGAAAAGAGGGTAATCCTCGCGTGTCCTCTTCCTAGGTGTTCTCACTCTCGCATACCCCTCGTTCCCGCCAAAAACGCACGAGACAAAAGGAGAAAATCGTGAAAATCGCCGATCGACACCTTGTACCCTTCTCCCTCTCCCTCTTCATCCCTCTTCGCCGCACCCTTGCCTCTTTGTCCTTTGCTGTTCACCCCTTTAAAATCTGGACGAGGCACTCGGGGATGAGACGACAGCTGATTAACGCGTTGGGATTTAAGACCAGGTGGAAGATCAAGGGCTAACACTCGTCGAGATTGACAACGTGACCTTTGAGGTATCTCTCGACAGAGTGATCGGAAAAATCTCTACCGAACAATTGAAATGCTTTGATTAAAATTAAAGTTTAACAGGTTTAAGAGCAAATGTGAGAGAAAAAATTAACTCGCGGAAGATCGTAATGTGAAGATTTATTTGAGATAACTTTTGCTCACAAGTCTCTCTCTCCATTTTTTTCGCATAACGTCGACAGAAAGATCGGTATATCTCCGATCAATTTGAAACTCTCGATCTCAACCGATGCATTCTTTAAAGACATGTTTAAATGATGTTTCCGATGGATCGATTAATTTTAAAGCTAGAGAGATTAACGCGGCAAGTGCTTTGGTCCAGCTATATGATAGTGGTATTTCAGTGAGTTCGCTGATCCGCAGTTTTCTTTTATTATCACAGAAACGAGAAAAATCATTTATCAGTTCAATTTAAAATTCGTTTTCTTTCATTTTCGAATTCTAGGAGACTTTAACTAAATTTGATTAATACATAAATCGTTTCTAGAGGACAATATTACGAGGAAGAGATAAAAATAGTACTTCGTGAAAAAAGTAAAAAAATAAGTGCATAATAAGTGTAAAATAAATATATAAAATCTATTTAAGATATAAAAGTGCGCAGTTTTTAATTTAGTTTTTAATTAATAAATGCTGACTACTCTAATTTATACCAAAGATTTCTTAAAAGCGTTCTCCACGTACTTTTAATGAATTTTAAATACTTAACAACATTAAAAGCGAGAGGATGCGGCCATCGCATTATTTATTTAATATTAGAAGTAAGAAAAAAAATGATCACCGCGTGCGATCGCACTTGTTTCTGGTTTAGCGGATAAACGTGGTTTAAAGACTCGGGCGAGAATAGTAGAAGGGTTAACGCCCAGAAGAACCGCAATAGGATCCTCGTGGTATTTCAGGCTGGAGACAAGTTGAAGCGGCGACACACGCCGCTTCTGGGAACTTTAACCCGTAGTACATATCCAGGATTTTCTCGTTGACGTATTTGTCGCACATAGTTAACGCTAGAGTTGCGATTCGGAGAGGAGAACTCTATCCAGCTCGAAACTTTGACCCATATATTCTCACCATGTTAACTGCGATTGTTTCACACGAAAGACACATTTAACGTAGCGAGACTAATTCTCAAAAAAAGTTCTTGTTTTCGCAATTTTACGTAGTAACGTAAACATCAATCTTTATTTATTTACCGTTCAAAGTACCGTTTCATCAACGTTGTAAATTCTCTTACAATCGTACATAATACGGAATTCGTAACCACTGTTAAAAAAGCTAGAATCTAAAAGCTTTGACACTCAACTTTGTTTTTAATTCTTCTCGTAAAAGTTCTGTATCACAATCCGAGCGGAATTGTTCGTTCCAAGAGGAACAACGATGAACATAAAGGGCCACGATCGTTTCACAAAGTACGTTGATATAAAATAGCATTCTTTAATGAAAAGAAGTTTTAAAACTACAATGAGATTAAGTATCGCTCGATCGTTAATTATGTGTTAAGTACAATATAATTACGATTTTTTTAGATATACATATATGTATCACGCTTCAAAACGCGAAAGTTGTTCCAATTTTAATAAATACACACCGGTTATAATATTCGAAGCACTATTTAATTTTCCGAAGAATTTCTCCAACAATTTTCACCATTCAGTAATCAATACGTTAATAATTCAAATATTTAACATTATATATATATATATTATTATTATTAATAACCAAATATTTAGAAATTAATACGCTAACAATCACACATATATAGAAAATAATCACTTCAATCTAGATACAATTAAAATAATCAAAGCACATTTTAAATTTAACAGAGAATTAATATATACTTAACTTAGTGTTATATAAAACTTCAATAAAAAATCAACTTTAATAAAATGTAATAAAAATAAAACGACCGTTCTTCAACATCTGTAACAATTTTCATCTCGTATATAAATCAGGATTTGGCTTTTAACATTTCATGTAGTGTTTGCGAATCTCTATACAGCAAGATTCAGAATGGTCAGGCAGCGAGCCTCTTTGCTGCATACGGCAAATCTGAAAAGCAATTCCGTCAAGGAGGCTGTACTTTCTATTTGCCGAGCCGGAGGAGAGTTTGTCTTTCCGGGTCGTGGCTCGGGTTTTATTTAATTATTCCTTTCGGTACATATACTCGCTCAGATCGCGGCGACAGATCGAGTCTTCCGTTGCACATAGCCGAAGACTCTGATTTAAACCACGAATTCGACTGATTTGTGAAATAATGAGAGCAAATTGGTTTAGAAATATCCGAAATATCAGCAATCCTATAAATTTAAAGCAACTACGTACAAATTATATCTATCCAAATGATATCCAATTATACCTATCCAAATGAAATATCATCTCGGCGCCATGGATTCGTTATCTTGTACGCTGACTTTGTAATATTTGTCGATTCGATTTTGTTCCACGTAAAATTAGCGAATCCAATTACGTGCGGCATCTAACGAGTGAACTTAATTTAACTCGTTTTTCCGAACTACACCCATCGCGTCCCTTTATTATGTCGGTCGCGTCGCCGTTTCGGAAATTACGTGCCAATGGGGCCGCGCTTTTTGCCAGGTCGGGGACTAATTTCGGCATAAATTTATCCTCGTCACTCTACAGAGAGAGGCTAAAAAGGGTGCACGCACGTACATACGTTCGTGTCGATATAGAAATTGCTTTTGTCTTCCCTGTCCCTTCTCTTTTCGTAAAGACAAGAGACAAGATAAATTAATTTGGCAATGTAATTTAATTCTAACTAAATTTAGTTGAATTTCTAAGAATAGGCATGTAACTTTTTGTCTGATATTGAGTTTATCTTTCTGCTTTGAGTCGCCTAAATAAAGAACTGTATGAATTGAAAAGGATATCGCGACAAACTAGCTTTTCAAATCGAAGATCGATTGAGAAATTTACTTAATTCGAATTAATTCATACAATAAAATGTATTTGATTTGTTTAATAAATATTAATATCTTTTTTAGTTTTCACAATACAATTACAATTTAATTTAATTTAATTTAATTTTATTTGTGGGCTCAAAATTGAAAATTTCTATCAATACCTATCGAAATCGTAGAGTAATAAAAATAAAAAACCGGCAAACTCTCTTCCGCGAAGTAACGCGAATAAGGTTGCTTTCAAAGTAAAAGCTAATTTTGCAACAAATTCGCTCTCTCTCGTGAGTGGTTCGCTAAGGGAAAGGCGGACGTGTAAGTTTCCATCGGCAACCGAGTTTGTCTTTTCGGTTCGCATCGACGAAAACAAGGAACAATCCCGTTGCTACGAACTTGCAACCGAAACAGTTCGACGGTGTTGATGAGTTCGAATGGCGCGATGAAAACTTCGGCGCGGTGAACGGCCCCGAACGCAACCGGGAAAGTTTTTCTCGGACCGCGATTGTGTCCAGACTAGCGGAAAAAGTAAAACGAAATCCGGCTTCGATCAGACTCGATTATACTGATTACAGAGCTTGTTAGAATTAGCGACTTGCCCGGAGCACAAAGAGTTGCATCTGCAAGTTACATTAAGATGACTAGCGCCGCGTTGTTTAAATCAATACAATATTTAAAACATTGTCAAATTTATTCCGATTAAAATAAAGTAGCAATAAAGAGAATGCAGTTAATAATGTAAATGTTAATACATTTCATTTTTCTTTTTGGTAAAAGTATAATGAATTAATATGAGAATGATAGAAAAAGTGGTCACTTTCATCATATAGCATAAAAGATCTAAATAAACAGACAGTCGAAAATAACAATGGACAGCAATCGTTCGTTTATTTATCTCGTATACCGTATTAATTGGACCAATAGACGGAGAAATTAAGATGGAATTGATTAACATTTCGAATGTCGATGGTAAAAATATTCGCGCGTCGAGGGAACTAAATCGAGCTGGTAGCCACGATATAATGATGTTGTAATTGATATGATAGTACAATACCGATGTGTTTAGCCAATAAAGACAGGTTAAAATAATCTCGCAGCTGCTATGTGTGCTCTTGTGTGTGTGTTCCTCTCTTACCTAAATATACACTTCGTTAACCCGAATATGTGTGTGACTATGCACACTTTACATCACGTACACCGTCATAGAAACTCCTCGGAAACGTTAAATGTAATATCAAACAATGATATGGCAGAAACGAACGTTGAATATGATTGACAAAATCCGGCGAAAACGTTCGCGTATTAAGTTTGACGTTGCATCTCGCGAATTCAATGTTGACGAATCGAATTTTATTTTGCACGTGTCGTTCACATGCCATTAATAAGTCGCGATTTTATAAAATTTATATTATTTCTCGAGATTGATCCGCGATACTGAAATATATCATTCGCATCAATCGTGCGCGAAGCGCGTGCTTTATAGAAACGTAAATATATAAATTTCTTTCACGTACGAGTTTCATTCGTTTCATTTATTTCTGTGAAAAATAAAAGTCTCGCGCTTTTCTCTTTCTCCTTAATAATATTCTCAAGTTTGAAATCCGCTCACGATTCTCTAATAACGCTTTTACATAAATATTGGTTTTTTTAGCGGTTAGTCGTAATATAAAATGAATTGTAAACATTGCATTTTAGATGCTTCTTCTAACATTTTTCCCGTACTTATTAAATTTTATGACAGAATCATTTACTAGTAATTATTATTGCCTCATAAAGATGCTTTTTTAGATATCATGTACTTTCTATAATAATAAAATATCAATCAATTTTATCTTAATTTTTTCCGTTAACTATATCAATATGCTTTACAAATCTCACATATATTTCAAATATATTTCTTTTTCTCAAGAATATTAATCACTTGTTTATAAAAGAGTCATTGTCAACTTTCTGTCACGTTTCTCGTTTATCAGAGAATTAAAAACAGATTCCTTGGAATATTTTCTAGGACTCAACAAAGTCGTTTAATTTTTCTCGTCTTTACACCACCCTTATATCCATGCTAGAAAATTAAACTT